TTTCTGGGAAACAAGGCAATATACTGGATAAAATTTTCCAATAACCAAAATGTTTTAATACTCTGACATGCACATGTTATTATTACCAGCCACATATTGAAGTGAGACTGTATGCCACATTTTAGACTTCACTTGTTAGACAAAAGAATGGGAAAATTGCAGTTTTAACCTTTCAATAACTAGCTTTTGCCTGTATTTTCAGATTTGTGGATAATATGGACTTGATATCATGATGTTATTCACTTATCCCATGCTTTGAATGGCCCTTGGATTGGTTTCTTTTTTGGATTGTCTTGATAACCTAAATTTGATAACGTACTTCAAAGAAAGCATAGAAAAAACGATGATTGTTTTCTTTTTAGTATATCAGAGGTGTCTGTTATGATTGTTTTTGTTGTTTGACAATACTTGGTAAAGTTGATTTTAAATGAGAAACACTTCTAGATTGGCAATATTACAGTTAATGATCTATACCATGCCAACTCATAAGCTCTTTTTCTTGAAAAATGTTTGGTAACAGTTAATGACACTGTCTATTATGCTTGGTGGCTCCTGATAGTGGCTGACTTTTCTTTTATATTCTAGGAAATTTTCTGTCAGTTGCCTTTACCTTACATGGATGAGGAGTTCAAGCTTGATATGACATGGAGAGATTTATTGGAGAATAAATTTGAGCCACCTCCTTATGTCCACATCAAGCGAAGTATCCTGAGAATGCCATTACTTTAGCAAACCAAATTACAAGTTTATATGTTGAATGACTGTATGACTTGCTTGTATAGTTTGCTCTCTTATTCTAATTCTAGTTTACAGATGAAAATGTGTGTGTCGCATAAATATACCTTCATATCGCATGTTTAGGAGAATAATTCACATTACGTTGAAACCACAATATGAAAAGAATTATAAGGACTCGGTGTGTCTTATCTTTTGACACTTTGAGTGATTTTCAATTTGGCAAATGAAATTTTTGTTTCATTATAATTGTTGCTGTTTGCTTTTTTTTTTTTGACCTGCCTTAAATGGAGCTAGATGTTTACATAGTGAAGAAGAAGCGAGATGATGTTGTCGATGACATTGGATGCACAAGCTGTAGTTCCACATGCTCTGAGGATTGTGTATGCAGGTATTTATTATTTGTCTTTCAAGTTCATATTGATTAAGACAGACAGGAGCGATTGTCTAATGTTTTACCTCCTTAGATGTCATTTGAATGCACCATTTGGCAGTATTATTCAAAGCAATTATGCTAATATTTGATTTTTATATTCTTATCTGCCATTTATCATGATTTATTCATAGTAGTTCTAACATGTATACCATATGTTAGAGTTCAATGCATAAGCTGCTCAAAGGCTTGCCGCTGCCCTGAATCTTGCACCAACAGACCATTTAGCAAGGAGAAAAAGATCAGAATTGTCAAGGTGACTGTTGGTTGTTGACATTTAGTGTCGGTTTTTAGACCTTTCTTGAAAAATATCGAGGTGAGAAATTTCTTTCTGAATGAATTCTTATTTTCCTTTCAGACTGAACTTTGTGGTTGGGGAGTAGAGGCGGCTGAACCTATTAAAAAAGGAGATTTTGTAATTGAGTATATTGGGGAAGGTAGTTTCACTTTCTGTGTCTTCTTTTTTAAAAGTATATCCAAATGCAGTTTTATTTTTTACTCTTTTTCTCCTTTTTTTTAGTTCTTACAAATTTTATTTCAACTTATAGTTGTGAAAAAGTAAAAAATTTGCATTTGAACATCTCTGAAAAATTCACTATTATGGTAAGCATGGGTTTATCTGTCATCAAACAGGTCCATTCTTAGTCTAAATTCTAAATTGCAGCATCAATCTTTAGTGTGTATATGTCTGGTAACACAAGTATAATATCAACCAAAGAGATAAATCATTTATTGAATTGGATGATCCCTTGCACTCTTAGAGATGAAAAAGGATAATTTTAGTTAACATTCTCAACTCTGCTCCACAAAGTTATTGCTCATCATTCCAAGCATCAATATCTAGTGCGTATATGTTCTGGTAGCATAAGTATAATATCAACCAAAGAGATAAATCATTTATTGAACTGGATGATCTCCTTGTACTCTTTGACTACTCTACTGCACAATTTTATTCCTTATTATTCTATTCCATGCCTAGGGCTTTGTTTCCTTTTCCTCACAAGCGCCATACAGTAGCAGACAGGTCATGAAGTGTTAATAGTCTATTTGAAGGGGATTTATTTTTGTATTTGTGCTGCAAATGAATTATAGTTATGAAATTTAGTTAGCAATCTTTTCACAAAACAGTTTTCACTTGTACTCATGAATCATGCTCATATGCTAGCCTGTTAAACTGTATTGATGTTTTGGATGACATAGACCATTACATGTGATAGATTTATCTTTAGGAGGACCAATGGTCTAGTCTTAAATGTAACCATTTGGGTGTCAGTATAGGTATATGTGCAATCAATTTGATAATTAAACATGAAAAATCTGCTGTTTGTTAGAGTGTTTCGGGTTCTATCAAGAAACAGTGAGCCTTTCACTCCAATTCTCTGTTTATATTTATTAAATTTCATCTGTATGTCAAATATGGGCATGCTTTTAATTGCTTACCTTCCTCAAAGTTTTATCTTTCATTTTATTTATAAAAGAGCTTAAAATTGATTAAATAACTATCTTCCTTTACAGTTATTGATGATGCTCAGTGTGAAAAAAGGCTCTGGGACATGAAATACAAAGGGGTGAAGAATTTTTACATGTGTGAAATTCGAAAAGATTTCACAATTGATGCAACTTTTAAAGGCAATACATCTCGTTTTCTAAATCACAGCTGTGATCCCAATTGTGTTTTGGAGAAGTGGTTGGTATTAATATATTGCCTTTTTATATGTTGCTTTTAAATTCTGTAGAAGCTAATGGTTTCTGTATGTGCTAAAACCAGTTAAACAACTTAGAATAGAGCTTTTTTTTTCTTCAATTGACTAGTTTCTTTATTTTTACAACCCCATTTACTTCTCATTCCGTAGACTTCTGGAGTGGCTTTTGTATTGCCGCTTAGATCCCTGTACTCATATAATACACTGGTTCACATGTTTGTGACAAATTTCTTTGTGCGCTAAAATCATGGTAGTGAAACTGTTTTGATAGTATTTGGTTTTAACCATATAAAACTGCCATTCTGTTAGGCAAGTTGAAGGGGAGACACGTGTTGGGGTGTTTGCTGCTCGATCAATTGAAGTTGGTGAGCCACTGACATATGACTACAGGTATGCATGGTCGTAATACTACTTAAAATGTCTAAACTGCTACAATTTATGTGTTTGCAATAAACAGCAATGATGGTGATGCATGAATAGACTTGAATGGGGATATTTGTCGTTATATTACTTGAAATTGACTTATTATTCTAACGTTTTTTTTGGGTAAGTACATATTAGATTATTTTGATAGCTGAAAACATTGGTTTGTGAATGTGTTTTCAAGAAAATCAGTTAGGTTAATATATATTGCCATCTTGGAGAGGATTTTGAACAATGTTTACTGTTTTCTGAATGGGATACTAGATTTGTTGGCTTCGTTTAATCTCTTTTTGAGTAAACCAATAGCTCTTGCAATGTAAATTAACTGAAAAATAGTATTGAATATGCAATAAAAATCAGGTATTTGAAGTCTTCGCATGATAAGACCCTTCATAACAGTTCGCTCTAATATCAAATTTGGTAGTGTTTAATGGTTCAATACGATTGCGGTTGCTGAGATAGAAATGTGAGGATCCACTCTAATATCAAATTTGGTAGTGTTTAATAGTTTGTGAAGACAACTCGTCATTGCATTCTGGAATATGGAGTGGATCCCTTGTCTTGGTGGCAAATAGTTGTGATTTTTGTTTTGCTTTTCGCTTTTGTAGATTTGTGCAGTTTGGACCTGAAGTAAAGTGCCATTGTGGTGCTTCCAATTGTCAAGGTTATCTTGGGACGAACAGAAAAATTGTTAAACCAGATCTATGCTGGGGCTCGAAACGCAGGAGAACTTCGACTGCATGCTTAGCCATCATAACTGTATAGTTTGTAACGACAGACCATTTTTAGACTTGGCTGCTTTGTTGTATATTAATCCACCATGCCAGAGGGGAAGAAAAAACATTGGAAAGAAGAAAAATGAAACAGCCAAGATCAGCGAGTCAAAGCTTGATCATTCTTGAAAAAAAAATGAAAATTTTAGTTTTTGTATGTGTTTCCACAAGCTGATTTTATTGTACTACAACCTAGTTTCCAAAGGCTTTGTTGTAATTGGTGGATCTTGCATGAATGATTTCATGTCAATTGATTCTCAGAACCCTTTAATTTAGTCTTTTTAAATTTTTGAATCCCTCTGTTAAAAATGATACGTCTAAATTAATCAGGATGAATTGGACGCAATAATTTAATATTTGAGTTTAATTATAATAGATATAATATTAATTTATATATCATGTTCTCCTCAATTGTAATACTCTAAAAATATAATACCTCTTCTAGTTCTATCATCTCTGAATTCATTCGTCTTTTATGGTTGGAAATCTTTGTTGTAATGATACCAACATATTACTTCTAGTTAACATGGTCTACTTGTTTGTTTTCATAGCTGTCTTCAAAACAATCAAGACTATTGCGTCGAATTGATTTATTTATTTATTTAATATTATTATATCCATTTGAAAGAGATACTATTGTAATTTTTATTATATAAAATCGAGAGACTAAGCAATGCCGTAGTTTTCGGGCGGTTGCCATTATTTTAAAATTAAAAGATATAAAAATGTTTAATTATATGAATCCCAATTTTAATTTATTTTAATTGTATGTTCATTCTCTATTATTAATTACATTTTATTCCATTCCTGAGAAAATTAGTACTTAATTCTTTACAAATCTTTGTTGAATTAGTAAACTTGAATCGTCATGATTGGGACAGATGCTTTAGACGGTTTGATGGAATCTATTAGATGCTTCTTTGGTTATTTCTCGTCGTCGCTTTATAGAAAAACCATGATATATAGAAGAGAAGTAAATCCCCGCGTAAACATTAATTTACAACCTAATTAGTCCAAGCAAACCAGTTGGTTAGAGCTTAACATGGGTATCGATGCTGAGTTTCAGGTCCCAGTCATCGAGTTCCGGACCGGTTCGCCGGATTTGGAGCGAGGAACCGAAGGATGGCACCAAAATTGCAAGAGAGTTCGAGAAGCTTGCGAGATGTACGGTTGTTTTCAGGTGGTATACGAAAAGATATCGCGGAGAGTCCGAGAGGAGACTTTTGCATTGTTGAAAGATCTGGTGGAGGAAGTTCCATTGGAGAGGAAACAGATGAACGCTAATCCCAAGCCTTACCATAGCTACTTTGGACCGTGCAGTCAGGATTCTTTGTACGAGGGCTTCGGAATTGAAGACGCCTCCAACTACGACTCTGTTAAAAGCTTTGCTCACATTATGTGGCCCGATGGTCACCCCTACTTTTGGTAATACAAATTCTTTCATACAAGGTTAAAAATATGTTGTTACTTTTTTATTAAACAACCAATATGATCTTTTTTTTAAAACACATTAATTCTTTATATTTCATTTTGGGATAAAATAATATTTGACTAGACGAAAATTGTTATTTAAAAATTAATACACTTTATTAATGTGATAAAATTCATATATCTAAAATGTTGACATGATATAATATTTAATAATGTTGTGATATGTATTATATCATCACTTACAAACTAATATTTTAGACATATGCCACGTCAGTATTTTAGATATGTGGCATATATCATATCATCACTTTGATTTTATAATAAATGTCATGTCAATACTTTAAACATATAAATCTTGTCACGTCAAGTAATAATTTCATTAAATCATAGGTATTTTACCTTAAAATGAAATGTTGGAAACTAAAATACTTTTAAAAAATAGGATGAGCTAAAGTAGCTATTTAATTAAACATTAGAGATATTTTTTAATATTTTGATAAATTCTTTTATTTTTGTAACTTTTTTCTAAGTTGACTGGTCATTGTGCATGTCAACTGTTTGATCTTTTGTCCCAGCGAAACTGTGAACACAATTGTGAAACAAATGGAGGAGCTGAATAACATAATCTGGTTAATGATAATCGATAGTTATGGATTAGGAGAGAAATGGGAGACCGTGATGATGAACAGCAAAACACTGCTGAGGATGATGAAATATATGTCCCCTTCGTCGGGGGAGTATAGGAGAGGACTACACGCTCATACTGATAAACCAGTTAGTACAATCATTTGCGAGGATCAAATTCCAGGGCTGGAAATTGAGGGCAAGGACGGACAATGGATCAAATTGTCTTCATCTTCTACTTCCTTTGTGTTTCTGGTTGGAGATCCCCTCATGGTATGTATGTATGTATGTATGGCTAAGTTTTGTATATTCACTCGATAATAATTAGTTTTGATTAACATACTACATTATAAATTTGGTAATAATTATAGGTATGGAGTAATGGAAGAATGAAAGCGGTGAAACATAGAGTGATGATGAACGGTGATAAAGATCGATATTCTATAGCGGCTTTCACAATTCCAGTTGAGGGTACGATAATTAAAATACCTGAAGAACTTATAGATGAACAACACCCTCGACTCTTCAAGGACTTTGACTTCATGGACTTCCTCTTGTTTTCCTTTTCGGAGCAAGTGAAGCTCATCGACTCAGCCGATCAGATCTACACCTTTGCTTCTCTCTCACCCTTATTTTCCGATCAAAACCATGCTCATATTGACAATTAAAAATAACCTAATTTTTCTTTCCATATATCAAGTTATTTATGATGTATTCTTATCGTGTAATTGTTTCTTTTTTTCTTCTATGATTCGTGTAACTGCACCTTTTGAGGCAATATTATGTTTGTTTTATATAATAAAGTTTATATATTTAAACAAAAACAGCACATAAAATTTAATTTACAAATAATTAATTAAAAAGGGAGAAACGAGAGAAAAGAGTCAAACGCCGGCATAAATATCAAGTGCATCGTCACTTAAATTGGACACGAAGTAGGAGAAGTAGTCCGCGAATTTGAAAGGGCGGTAAAGGAGCGGATGTTCGCCGTCGACAAGTTCACGCGCCGCCTCAATCATTGCTCCTTCCTTTGGCAATGTAAACAGCCCAAATGAGTACCTCTCTTTGTCCCCCTTCATCACCACCCTATGTTTAACTGCAACAAGTCTTCCATTGCTCCATGCCTATGTAGTACAATTATTATTATTATTGATATTATTTATATTTTAAATAACAAAGAATAATTTTAAAACTAGTAATTGTGTATATATTTACCTTTAGTGCATCACCAACAATGACAACTAAAGCATCTTTGGGAACCACCACTTCTTCCCAGTGGCCTTCTTTAGTTACAATCTCAAGACCTTGCACTTCATTTTGGCAAAGAACAGTAAGGGCGTTCTTGTCTGTGTGAGCCACCAGCCCCAGATTTTGGTCCTCCGTTGCCGGTACCCGGTACTTCATCACCCTCAATATGCTGCTGATGTCCCTCACCAACGCCTCGTACTGCTTTTCTTCGATGCCGAAACTCTTGAATATCATCCCCAGGATCGTAAAGCTTAGCTCTAGCATCTTTGAACTCATCGTATTGAGTATCTCACTATCATAATCATAAAAAACAATATTATTAATCTATAATAAGAAATGCTTTGAAATCTTTTAACGACGGTAATATAATATCGTCACCACTGATTTCTAGCGACGGAAGTTGATAAGAATAGTGACGTACAAGAAACATTTAGCAACGGTTTTGGGCGACAGTTTTAGGTGAAAACTGAAATTGCATATGAATGATGATTTTCTTTTTTTCTGGTAAAGGCATGTGCAGTCCAGTTTGTGAAATAACAATGCTATATATATAGAGCTGGCACTGTATTGAATGCAAATCTATTTCAAGGATAAGCACTATTTAATATGGAATTGGCTTGTAGTGAAGGCGTTTGGTGACAGCCAGTATCGTTCACTCGTTGAAATTTACAGCAGGAATATTAAAGAAAAATCCATGTAAAACGTGTTAAAAAACTAATCAAACTAACTCGTTTTGTTTTGAAATCTGAAGCAATGGTTCATGCAAATGGAGGTTATAGAAGAAAGGAAGATGAAGAAAAGTGTTACCAGAAAGCTGAGTTTCCTTGAGGCCACATGAGGTGAATGAAGTCTTGAGCAGCTTCGAAGCTGGTGGCGTCGTCGATGCCGAAGCTCTCATGCAAAGGAACCACGGGGCACTTGCCCTGGTAACTCCGGTAAGGCTTAGGGTGCTGGTACTTGCTCTTGGTCTCATCGGGTAGATCGAACAATGCCTTGATCCCCACCAGCATGTCTTCACGTAGACTTGTTGGGATCTTATCGTAGGTTAGCAGAAAACAACCGTGGCTCTCGCATGCTTCCCTCACTTGCCTGCACAAAACTTTCCACCTCTCTCTCCCTTGCCCCGATGATGGTGATAGGCCATTTTCGACGTCTTCCCCTGAGAATTGGATAACTGGGATCTTAGGTGGTGCCACATCCATCTCTCAAATCTTAATATATTCCCCTCTGTCTTTTCTTCAATGTTGAAGCACTTAACGTAAGAAAAAGAAAAGGTACCCTAGTTTTTATAAGGGAGTTACTCTATACATGTCCAAAACTTATATCAAAAGATTTTTTCTATCCGCAGGTCATACTACACCCAATTATACTTTATATTTCATACGACGATGAATTCAGAAATATTATATTATAAATTAAAATTATAATATAATTTATTTTAGAATTAAAATAAAATCGGATTAGAGATAACTAAACTGTATTGAAATAATTGTTTTAGTTGCCGAGTTTTTTTAATGTTATAAGGAGTATTAAACTTTACAATGTTATAAATAATGATAAATTTTAATAAATTTAAAGATTATTTTATAATACTTCAATATATTTTAATGACCATTTTATAATATTAAAAAATATCATTTAAACATAATTTACTAATATTAGAAACTAAAAGGATCAAGACTCATAATTTTCTTGAAACTGAGTTGGGTCAAATTTTAGACCATATGAAAATTCATCGGTAAAGATGATAATTAGTCGCATGTTTATAATTTCTATAAAATTTAAATATGTACAGTATTTATTTGAAAATCTAAATCCCTTTTGTTATTCGTATTAAAACTGAGTATTACTTTCTACAACAGAATCTGAATTAATTAAATTAATTGATATTAATTTTATTATAATATTTAATATAAATTTTATTTGTTTAATTATTAATTTTGATGTACAATGAATGAGATCTTTGATATATCTTATTTGCATTCAAGTTTCTTTGTAAATAGCTGTCAGTTTCAAGCCATTGAGAACCATATATTTTATGATAAAAAATTTGACTATTATAAGCATTGAATTCAACAATTAAATTAATATAAACAAATTAATTAAAGAATTTATTTGTAATTTAAATAATTGAAATTCGAACATAAAGCCTTAAAATCTTAATATTTTAATATAAACTATATTAAAGTCTCGTAGTACATATATTGGAAAATCTACATATTCTTTTTGGGATGGCACCTGCACTGAAACTTGCCATTTCCAAATTATGAGTTTTGATAGTCCAATTCTCAATGTCGTCCTTTTATTTTATGACCTAAATATCACTTGCTCGGCAATTTGTATGCACGAATCAAATAACCTCATTGGCAAAAGAAATGCTGTTATTCCTTGAGTTTTCGAGTTCGAACATCATAAATGTTAGGGATGTGAATGTTCAATATCAATTTGTATACTACCTTGTACTTATCTAAATTAATAAAATAATAATAATTTATATACAAAATATTAATAAAGAGTAGTAATCCAAGTTCATATGTTTATCAGTAACTAGACCAACTTCTCAATTTTTGTAAAAAGGACCAAATTGATGAATTAAAATAAAGGGGCTGAATTTCTCTCAAAATTTAGCGGTTTACTCATTGAATTTTCATTTTATTTTGTCTCTCAAATTTTTTTCAAATTGACATGGAAAATTAAGACTATTTTGTTCTTATGAAATGTTTACATCAATTATTCTATCTTATTCAGTTACATCATAAAAAAATTACAAAAAGAAAAAGGTGATATTAGCATTTCAATAAGGTCAAATTAGCTAATACTTCTCTTTTTTTTTTATTTTTTATGACGTGTAAGAAAAGAAAAAAAAAATTAACGTCAGTTTAAAGATAGTTTTATTGTTTTGTCAAGTTTTGAGTCAGACAAAAAATAAAAGTCTGAGAGTACAAAATAACACAAAAAAATAAAGGGGTAAAAAGAAAAAATGATAAAACTGAGTGGCCAAAAAGATGATTCTGCCTTATTTGCATCAGAATGTAAATAAGCCATTGCGTAAATGAATGGACGGACATATGAAAAACGCCTGGACTTCCTATTAAACGGACCAGCAACCATTGACCGTAAAACGGAAAAGAAAGAAAAGAGAAATTCATCTGATTATTTGCATGGCCACAAACAATGGATCTGCTGTTGTCTGGCCGCAAACAATGGATCATGTTTGCTGCAGTTCCACTGGATGACTGTCACTTTTAGGTCTCATCTTTAGGGTTCAAAACTACAATACTAAACCCCACTCTCTCACTCTATAGTGGACCACGGGACTCAACTCCCAATATTATTTTATTAACAATTCATACACATGTTATTGCATACAAATTATTAGAGTTTTATGATTCGAATTATGTTTTAATTTGATCTAAAAGGTTTATAATACAATTTGTTTGGTGAGTAAATAAAATTGAAAGACAAATTAAGAATATGTCACACTATATGTGATAGCGTAAAGCTCCTCAATCCACTACTAATCTCGTTCGAGGCATAAGATGGAGCCCGCAACATGGATCTTCACATTGAATCCTTATCCCTATAAGATTATATTCTATTAGACTTTGATTAAAAGTAGTAAGCTTAGTTTGAGTATATTTTTTGCTAGGCAAATTTCCTTTGTAATCAAACAATTATCTCTATAAATATATACTAGGGATTAGGGTTAGAAGTCATTTAATTAAATCTTGATGGCCGCGTATAACTGCATCTTCTATTATTGTTATTTTTTACGTTAGTAAAATTTCTCTTCACATGTTTGTTATTTTTTACATGGATGAATGTTGAAAGAGAGATAAAGCAAAAAGGAAAGTATAAAACCCTAGGGGTGTCCATTATTGAAGTTTTGAGAGCAAGGGAATCTACAACTCAACAAATGCAAGTTTAATCAGATTGTGGAAAGGGTTATGAGCAAAGGAATCTGCAATTATGGCACTCAAAACACACAAGATTAGGGTGGGAACTTGTTAGTTTGGGGAATTGGGAAAGGAATTATGAAATTCTCACTTGGCACATATATGTCATTCCAAAGAATAAATTCAGGTGGGGACACAGAGAAAAGGATTTGCTGTGATTGAAATGGCAAGTTGGCAGCAAGCTCACATGACACAATGTGTGTGCTTCTATCAAATTACACTGCTTTCGCACAAGTCGGTCCAACCACCATGTGTTCATGATTTTGCTATATCCCATAGTTTGCTTCTGAATGTTAACCTTATCCCAAAACTACTTTCTTACCTTTAAGTGTATATATACTTTGGATCACGAATATACTATTTCATCCATTTCGATTGATGCTGCACTCAAAGAGAAAGAATAAGGAGATGGCTTGAAGGAGAAGCAAATTATTGGTTCAACAGAGATAAACTTAGGAGTTAGATTAATTTGAAGCGTGTATTGGATTCTTAATTTTATTTCATTATATAACATATATTCTAATACTCAACAAAAAATTTCGTTACAAAAAAAGAAACTTTTTTTTGACAGAAATATTTAGTAAATTCAAATGGAAACAGGTAAAAGAAGAAAGATTCTCGATTTTGAAATGCTTTTTGAAATATCTCAATTTCTACAACAATATTTAATTTTCAATTGGCAAAAATATAAAAACTTATGGGTTGAATTGCATAGAAGGTCGTTGTAGTATACAAAGTAGTATCTATTCAAAGTATTTCTTAACCATTAACAATATATACATACATCTTACATGCACAGTTGCTCGGAGTCAACCTCTAGGAAAAACAATATTTCATTTAACTACCGAGACAACTCGATGAGTTCAAATATTTGTCAAATTAAATCTTGATACTCTTTAGTTTTTATATCGAAATATTTATTAGATTTTTGATAACTTTAAAATTAAAGAATTTAACTTCTAATATTAAACCTTAATTCCAACCTAATAACAGGCCATAATATTTGTAATTATTAATTTCCGACTAATCGTATATACATAGTAACTCAGGTGGTCCATATAGCAGTAATCCTAGAACCAAAGAAGAGGAAACTGAGAAAAGCTTTATTCACAAAACATCATGGAAGCTGTTATAAGAAACGTACAGAGAAAGGATCCAATCACTCAACATCGTGACAAGTTGGCAATTTCTTTTCATTTGCTTGATTAGAGCATACAGTGGGATCATAAGTCGATACACCAAGTCAATGATGGGGAAGCAAAAGGTCGGTTGGGAAGGTGGGGCTTTTTCAATTTTTAGGCTTCCACCACCCTCCCTTCTGCTGCTGGAACCATTCTCATCAATGTGTGCGTCCTTGGATTCGGCCAACGAGTTATCTTGCCAGCTACTTACTCCCTTTTCTTTCATTACGGATAATAATAGTATGGGGCGAGATCGGAATTTGTCTTATTTATTTATATCGTTTTCCAATATTATATAATTTTATTTATTTCCAAATATATTTAAAATTTTAATTTAATAAATAGTAACCGTCTTTGATTATCATATTGATATAAGTTTGATAAAGTTTAAAAAATAATTTTAACATTTCGAAATCGATAAATTTTCATTATAAAATAATTAAATATTGCATTGTTTATACGATTTTTTCATGTGTTTCAATATAATCTTGTAAACCTATATTTACCAAGTGTTTGAAGACAAACCTTATATATAGTCAATTTGTGCTCGTGCCACATGTTATTTTTTTAAATAAATTTTGTATACTTTTGTATATTTTTAATTTATTTCTTTTAATTTTATCTTAGATGATGTTAGAGTTGGAGACTATGCCTGAAACCTACTACGTCAATTAAAAACGCCTTACTAACCATATTTTTTAAAAATGTTTCTTACGTGACGCGTCAAAGTTAAAAATTGTCTTTTTTAAATAAAATTATTAAGATATCATTTAATTTTATTTTAAGAATTGGATATCATTTAAGTAAATAAATATAAAATGAGTATGATCCTCTTAAATTAGTTGAGAATTTAAGATTATATTTTGGATGCAAACCTTTGCACCTATGTGGCACCTATGTGGAACTAGTATAGGTAGAAGTATTTGGCCCGAAACTGCACCCATTGGGCCGCTTTAATGCCCAAAACCCTCAAAACGTAAGCCCACTAACTTTATCTTCTCTACGGTCTAATAACGGATTAACAGATTTATCTATTCTCTTCAAAAGAAAAGAGAGAGAGAAAAGAGCTCTCTTTGAGTACCGCGTCAAGCCACGTCCTACCGATAAAACAAGTTCATGCCTTCCGATAAG